AGTCAGTCAGTCCATTCTGGGGATGTCCAACTCTCTTATGAAGTCTTTCCTTCTCCTGACCCCAAGCCTATTCAACTCCTTAATTAATAACAGTAATAGTTAACATATTATTTTCATTGAATGAATATTTATTGAATGCCCACTTTGCACCCGACAGGTGCTTTACATGCAAACCAGAACCAAACCCACTGTCATCGAGTCAGTTGCAACTCATAGCAACCCCCACTGGGTTTCCAAGGCAGTAAATCTTTAGAAGTACATTGCCCCATCTTCCTTCCATGGAGTGGCTGGTGGGTTTGAATCATCAGCCTTCTGGTTAGCAGTCAAATGCCTTTGGCACTGCACCACCAGAGCTCCTTCAATAGGTTCCTCAAAGATAATCCATGAGGTTGAGACTATTATCACCCCCAATTTTTAGATGCAAAAACCTAGGCTCAAAAGTTGTGGCATGCCTAAGGACCCCTAGGTGTCAGGCCTCAATCCCAGGTTTTTGTGCCTCCAGGATCCTTGCCCCTACCCACTGATTCTCACTGCCTCCCATTGGGCTTCTTGTTGTTGTTGTTGTTATGTGCTGTCAAGTCGGCCCCGACTCATAGCGACCCCTCCTTGGGTTTACGGAAGTAGGATTGCCCAACCTTCCTTCTGAGGAGTGGCTGGTGGGTTTGAACTGCCAGCCTTCTGGTTAGCAATCAAGTGCTTTAGCCACTATGCTACCAGATTGGGCTAGGCTCACCCAAATGCCTTTTCCTCAGATCCACTTGGGCCCCATCCCCTGTCCCCTCCAGCAGGCCGGCCAGCCCGGGCAACAGCCTCCATCCCCTCTGAAGCTCCTAGGGAGACAATGGCGGGGTCGGCAGGGGAGGTGAAGGCGCGGGTGCCCCCCTGCCCGCTGCCCTTTGTCTGCCCGCCTGCTCCCCTCTTGCGCCCCGGGAGGCTGGGAGGCGCCTCTCACAGGCTTCCTCCTCCCATTCTTGTGCTAATTGAGTGTCAAGCTGAGATCAGTGAGAAAGAAATCCGCCCTGGCTCGGGTTAAACTGCCGCCAAAGACTAGGGCTGAGCCCAGAATATCATTAGGCTGGGAGGAAGCTGTGCCCCCTCCTTAGGGGAGGGTCTGGCCACGCATTCAGGCCCCTTTGAAAGTCACTTGGCTGCCCCTCCGTTGTTGCTGCCGCCTCAGTGGGCCCCTCAGAGGTATTTAACCTTCTTCCCAGGAGTTGAAAGTGATACGCCAAGCACTGGTCTGGGCGGCCACTTGGCCACTTGCCTGTCCTGAGGGTGGGACAGACCTCCAGGGTGGCTTGAGGCAAGCTCCTTTGGCCTCCCTGCGTGGAGCAGGCAAGTTGCTGATAGGAACACTGAGGTTTGGGAGGGGCCTTTCATACCAGCTCTGCCATTCACAGGCTTTGTGGTCTTTGGGGAGACTGGCTTGGTAAGCTTCAGCTTCTTCATCTGTGGAATGGGGATAAAAACGGTACCTACTTTGTGCTCTGGACTGAGGGAAATAATTCAGATAAAGCTTGGTGACAGTGCCTGGCACATGGTAGGTGCTCACACATGGTGACTAGGAGCAAGAGTTCAAGAAGTGGGTTTGACTGGATACAAGGATTTCCTATCCCAGTCTCAGGAGGAGTGCAAGTAGAAATGCCCACAAAGGATTAACTTCTCATATCTGTCTCAACTCCATCCCCTTCTCCCAGACCCCATTAACACTGCAGCCTCACTGAACTTCATCTGCTTGGCCTGCCCTTCCCCTCCAGACCTTTACATGTTGCAGCTCTCTGTCTGGAACACGCCGGGCCCTCCCTCCTCCCCTTGTTCGTTTTTGGATAACTCTTCCTTGAAATTCCCTGACCACGAAATGTGCCCCTCTGCCTCCCTGCCAGGGCTGGGTTAGCTGCAGTTCAGAACACCCAGACACGTTGCTGTTGATCCCGACCCTATAGGGTAGAGTAGAAACTGCCCCATAAGATTTCCAAGGGAGCTCCGGTATCATAGTGCCTAAAGCATTTGACTGCTAACCAGAAGGCTGGCGGTTCAAACCCACCAGCCACTCCTCAGAAGGAAGATGGAGCAATCTACTTCCGTAGTGATACTGCCTCGGAAACCCAAGGAGGGGTCGCTATGAGTCAGGTCTGACTTGACGGCACATAACAACAACAATCTTTACAGAAGCAGACTGCTGCATCATCTTTCTCTCAGGGAGGTTCTAACCACAGACCTTTCTGTTGGCAGCCGGGCACTTAACCACTGCGCCATCAGGGCTCCTAGTTCAGCACTTCACTTTTTCTCTGTTAGCCTCCGGGCCCCCTGCAGATGGTGGGCTCCCTGAGGGCAGAGGAGAATCTGGGTCTCTATCTTGCTCACCCCAGCATCTGCCTGCGCACCCCCGCAGAGTAGACATTTACAACCAGTTCAGTAAAAGAACTTACAGAGGGCTTTGTAAACCTTGAAGCACTGAGAATAAATGTTGAGAAATGCCTATAAACAATATTACTATTGCTGTTAATTGACTTCACAAGCATTTATTGAGCACCTACTGTGTGCTGCATGGAGATGACTCACACACAGCCAGGAGGACCAGATTCAAACCTGAGAGCTTCAAGGGCCAGTGACCAACCAGTCCCACTCCTTTATGGGTGGGGGGAGCTCCCATGCAGAAGTGGGAAATTTAGGCTTATTCTGATGTCTTCAAAGCGCTCTGGTGGTGTAGTGGTTAAAGCACTAGGCTGCTAATCAAAAGGCTGGCAGTTCAAACTCACCACCGCCTCTGCAGGAGGAAGATAGGCCATTCTGCTTCATCTTTCACAGCCTTAGAAACCATACAGGAGGGTTCTGTTCTGTCCTGTAAGATCGCTATGAGTTGGAATTGACTTGATGGCAGTGGGTTTTGATGTCTTAAAAGGAGGAGTTCTGGTGGTGTTAGAATGAAAGCATTGGGCTGGTAACCAAAGGATTGAGGGTTGAACCCACCAGCTGCTCCACAGGAGAAAGAAAGGCAGTCTGCTTCTGTAAGGATTTACAGTCTTGGAAATCCATGGGGCAGTTCTACCCTGTCGCTGAGTCAGAATAGACTTGATGGCAGTGGGTTTGGTTTGATGTCTGACGTGAACATATCGCCTTGTCTTCTCTTACTATGTATCGAGCAGAGATCAGCACCAGGCTCTGTGCTACGAGATTTTCATTCACTATCTCATTGCATTTTCACAACTATCCTGACCTAGGATTCCCTGACCTCTATTTATGGGAGAGGAAACTGAGGTATCGCTTAGCAAATGGCAGACCTGGGAGTTGACCATGAGCCTGTCTGACTCAAGCTGGAGCTCTTAACTACTACTCCACATTGCCTTTTGGTGATTGTGTCAACCTTGAGAGAGAACCAGGCCCCACAGGGGGCTTCGTCCTATTGTAGAGAACTCACTACCGAGGATTAAAGACAGAAAGCCATACTTCAGCCAAGTCCAGCCTCTTGGAAGCCTGACCACAATAGGGCCTTCTGGGTTGGGCATCTGCTTTTGGGTAAGGGTAGGGGCTCTGAGCCCCTGTCCCCAACCTTTCCCTCAGCTGGGAGCTGGGACTGAATTTTCCAAGCCCTGCACGCCCTCTGCTGGCAATAACAGGGCACTACATATACGCATCCATGTGTCCTCAGCATCTCCCAGAGGGCCCCACTCTAGCTCTGTTCCCTCCTTGTACCAAGAGAGGCACCAGGCTCATCTCTCTTTGAAAGGTCACTCCTCCTACTAGGCACTTCAGATTTCTCTACTAGGGCACCTTCCACCTGAACTGCTTGCTGGCCTAGGGCATAGCTAGCAGAATCAACATTCGTGGAATGGAACCCTCTGCTACCAGGAGGGAGGGTTGTCCAATGACCACTACACAGGCTTCTGGAGCCAGGCTGGAGCTTGCGTTCCAGTCTCAGTACTTGCTGTATGACCTGGGCTAAGTGACTCAAAATCTGCAAGTTCTGGTTCTTTCCTTAAAATCCCATTTATAAAATCCACCTCATAATTTGTGTTAAGGGTTAAATAGTGAAGCTAAAAGTAGCCAGCACACAGCAGAGGCACATACCACTCTCTGTCCTAGGCTGTCCCATTGAGCCGTGACTTTCCTGGCTGGTGACTCCCTGATGGTGCTGGCTGTCAACTGGCACTGCTGACAGCATGGCTGTTAAGACTCTGCTCCAGGAACTTGCCTGTACTCTGCACAGGCTGGGTTAGGCAGCCATGCTCTAGCTTTCAGAGCCAGCCTCTCTAGCCCCTAAGCAAATGGGGACATGCACCCCAGAAAGAGGGAAAAGCATGAGCAAGGGTCTGCAGATGTGACCCTGCCCTAAGTTATGGTTTTCCCTTCAAAGACTCTGAGCAGTGCCTTCATCATAATGGCTACTTTAGCTTTCTGAATCCCTTTAAATGATTACTTCCATTTCATAGCTGAAGATACTAACTCACTGTTCAAAGCCACAACTTTTTAAGCAACAGAGGTAGTTTTGGACTTACAAGCCCACACAGTTAATCACCTTGCCAGACTCAGGTGGGGACTTCCTGTTGGAGACTTCAGATTAAGGGCAAGGGCTGTAGCATTTTATATGCCAGATTCCCAAGGTCTAAATGGATGAGTGAGTGAATGGGTCAGAAGGTAGAGCCCGAGCAGAACCAGGAAGACAGACTGGGGGGCTTGGGTTAGAGTGAGCTCAGCTGGTGTGCACACAGGCTGGGGGAGTCAAGGCAGAATTTATTGGCTCCTGAGCCCCCCACCCCATTCCTCTTCCTCTCAGAGCCAGGCCAGGACTGAGACAGAGAGGGTGACATGGACAAACCCACAAAGACTGAAAATCCCTGCCTAAGGATCAGCCAGGCAACAACCTAGGGAGAGGAGGATGAGGGGGAGCAGGGGCATTCTGTCTGGGCCTTCTGCTGCAGATGGGGCAGCTGGGGCCATGCCAGGTCCTCCTCTTAGTCTCCTGGGAGATGTGGGCAGGCCTGAGTGGCTTAGGCCTCTTTGGCCACCTGATCAGCTGGACCACTGCTGCCCCTGCCCACTCTGCTGGCTTCCTGAGTCTGGGGGCTTTCGCCCTGGTCCCATTTACAAGTGCCTGCTCTCTGGGAGAGCTTGGTGACCCTGCCACCCCTTCCTGCCCTGACTCAAAAGATCATCCTGAGGGAGGCCCCTCTGGCCTCGAAGACATAACATGGACATGAGGCTTTCACAGAAAACCTCAGTCGGGGTTGGGGAGGTGGCAGTGAGTCACTTGGCAGTTTTCAGGGGAGGGGGAGAGCACCTCGGGGTGGAGGTGCTGGGCCCTGCTTGCTTTGGTCTGGCATTACCCAAGACCCCTCTGAGGCAGGAGCTGGGGCTCTGGATCCAGCATCCACCGGCCCTCAGAGGGGTGCAGGGGCAAATCACAGCTTCTCTTCGCCTGCCTGGATGCGGATGTAGGCTTCTTGGTCCAGTGGGATGTAACGGCCCTTCCGGCTGTCCAGATAGAACAGTGGGTCTTTTACAACAATTGGGTCAAAGCCTTCCTTCCGTAGCTCTGTCTTCTGGAATTTATAGGTCCCTGGGGGAGTAGGGGAGACAAGAGAGAAGAAAATCAGATGGTGCAGGGCAGGGGCCCAAACTCCCAAGAACCCAACCAGTAGTGCTGGAGGGAAGGAGGAGGGCTGGAGAAAGCAGAGAAAGGGGCAGTGAGGGAAAGGGGGCATGGCCCTTTACAGTTTATAAAGAATGCTCCACCAAAGGACGCCTTCAAACTATTGCGCTGAGATCATCTTTAAATCTTAAACTGAAACTATCGCCTGAAGTAATCTTTAATTAAAGTTTAATAAGTAAAGGATATCTGCTTTTTTTAACTTTTGTGATTTGCATGAAAGTTTACAGAGCAAATTGGTTTTTCAGTCAATCGTTCATATGTTTTGTTTTGACGTTGAATGCAATTCCCACAATGTAACAGCACTCTTCCCATTTCTTCCCTGTGGTTACCTTTTCTCTGTGTCCTTCTTTGCTCAGAAGAATAACAAAAAAAAAAAACCAAACTCACTGCCATCGAGTCGGATCCGACTCATAGCGACTCCTCCTTGGGTTTCCGAGGTGGTATCACTACAGAAGTCGATTGCCCAACCTTCCTTCTGAGTGGCTGGTGGGTTTGAACTGCCAGTCTTTTGGTTAGCAGTCAAATGCCTTAGGCACTACGCCACTGGAGCTCTCTTCTTGCTCAGAAGGCTCTTTTAAAGAACTATGACAATAGCAGTTTGAAAGGTTAGATGAGAAGCTGAGGGAGCAGTAAGTTTATCTTAATGATAGTAGAATAATTTGGAAACAAATAGTGAGAATGGCTACACAATGTGAAGAATATAATCAATGTAACGGAAATGTACACATAGCGCTTGTTGAACTGGTAGATGTTCCGCTCTGTATATTTTCATGCCCCCCCCAAAAAAAGGATGCTCCATCCATTACATTAGGCACTGCTTCTAAGAGAAGCCCTGGTAAGGGGGACCGCAACACCCCCCCCATTATGTATATGAGGAAACTGAGACCTGAAGAGGGGAAGCCACTTGCGTACTGAGTGGAGAGCAGAACTCAGGTTTTCTGACTGTGACGGCTGCTTTTATGTGAGCGCTTACAGTGTACAAGTGTGATCTGTCTGTCCATCTACCCATTGAAGCTGGTGTTCATCTGTATTTTATGGATTCTAACCCCCATCTGCCACCATTCATCATCAGTTTGTCTTACTGTGGTGACTCACATGTTTCTATGAGGCTGGAGGCTATGACACTGGTATTAGTCACCCATGGTGGACAGGTTTCAGCGGAGCTTCCAGACTAAGACAGACTGGTAAGAAGGAAGGGGCCATCTACTTCCCAAAAAACTGGCCAGTGAAAACTATGAATAGCAGTGACACACTGTCTCAAATAGTGCCAGAAGATGTGGAGAGATTGGGACTCTCATACACTGCTGGTGGGACTATAAAATGGTACAACCATTGTGGAAAGCAGTATGACGATTCCTTCAAAAGTTGGAACTAGAAATGCCATTTGACCCAGCTATTCCATTACTAGGTATATATCCTAAAGAAGTGAGAGCCATGAAACGAACAGACATATGCACACCCATGTTCATTGCAGCACTATTTACAATAGCCAAAAGATGGAAACAACCTAGGTGTCCATCAACTGAGGAATAGATATCCAAACTATGGTACATACATACAATGGAATACTATGCAACCCTAAAGAATAATGTAGAATCTGCAAAACACTGCATAAAGTGGATGAACTTGGAGGACATTATGCTGAGTGAAATAAGTCAATCACAAAAGGACAAATATTGTATTAGTCTGTTATTGTAAAAGTCAAGGAAACGTTTATCTATGGAAGGACATTTTCTTTGTTGGTTACCAGGGGTGTGAGGGGAGGGTAGGGAACACTGTTAGATAGAGATAAATTTTGATTTGAGTGAAGAGAAGGGCAATGTATCAAATGTGAGTGATCAATATAGGGGCACTGAGGAAGAGAAAGACATAGAGAGGTATGTGGGAAGTACAGACAATAAAGATGAGCCCTTTCGTACATATAGTACGGCATTGTTAGTGAAGGCAAACATGGGGATATGGTTGGATAGATGGGTGGACAGGCTGAACTATTAGGTATGTCTATGAAGTGGGGAGTGTACCCAAGAACATGTATAGGGTTGGCAGACAATGGTTCTATAACTCTATGTGTATGATCTGAATTCCCAGGTGTATAGTGGGGAGCTGACAAGGGGCAAGGTTGTAGTCACTGCTTGGTCACAGCCAGCTACCCAGAGGGACTGAGTAGTTGAACCTGTGGGCTTGGGACCATAATTGCAGAGGGCATCAAGCTCAATTGGCATAACATACTACACAAAACATTGTTCCACCTCCTACTGTGGTGAGTAGCAACTGGGAACTTAAAAGCTTACAAGCTGCCACCTAGATGCAACAATGGGACTCTCCTCATCCAGAGCAAAGAAGAATGAAGAAAACCAAAAATTCATGGAAACAGTTAGTCCTAGCGACTGGTATACCATCCAATCTGCAGTCTATTAGACTATGAGACCAGAAGAACTAGATGGTGCTCGGCTACTACTGTTAACCACTTGGAAGAGGATCTATGTAGGAGATCCTGGATAGAGAGGGAGAACAATGTGGAACAAAAATCAAAATCATTTGAGAAAAAAAAAAAAAGGAGGGGGGGACCAGGTTTGCTGGTCCAATAAAGCTTCGTAGAACCACTGAGACTATGGCCCCTGGCTGCCCTTCAGGTCTGGAATTGAATCCACACCTGTGCCTTCCAGCCAAACAGAAGACAGGCATATGAGCTGAACATTTACCTGAGGTACATACACTCCTTGGAGAGAACAACCATGGGAGAAAGAAGGGCTGTTTATGCACAGGGAGACAGCTTAGGGGGCAGGAGTGCATGGAGGGATGGACACAGAGAAGAGGTTAACTATCGGGAGGAAGTGGGAGGGAAGATGTTGCATTGTGGTAAATTGTGGTCAATATCATGAGACAAAGTGTATGTGAACTGCTGTATGGAAAGTGTATTTGCTCTGTAAATTTTCACCCAAATCACAATAATAATAATAAAAAATAGTGCCAGAAGGTGAGCCCCTCAGGTTGGAAGGCACTCAAAATCCCACTGAGGAAGAGTGGCCTCCTCAAAGTAAGGTCAATCTTAATGATGTGGATAGAGTAAAGCTTTCAGGACCTTCATCTGCTGAAATGGCACAACTCAAAATGAGAAGAAATAGCTAAAAGCATTCATTAATAATCGGAATATGGAATGTACAAAGTATGAATCTAGAAAAATTGGAAGTTGTCAAAAATGAAATGGGACGTATAAAGGTTGATGTCCTAGGCTTTAGTGAGCTGAAATGGACTGGTATTGGCCATTTTGAATCACACAATCAGATAGTCTACTATGCCAGGAATGACAAATTGAAGAGAAATGGTATCACATTCATCATAAAAAAAAAAAAAACATTTCAAGATCTATCCTGTACTACAGTGCTGCCAATGATCAGACAATATCCATACCTACAAAGAAAACCAGTTAATATTGCTATTATTCAAATTTACACACCAACCACTAAAGCCAAAGATGAAGAAATTGAAGATTTTTACCAACTTGTACAGTCTAAAATTGACCAAACATGCAATCAAGATGTATTGATAATTATTGATGATTGGAATGTGAAAGTTGGAAACAAAGAAGCATCAGTAGTTGGAAAATAAGGCCTTGGTGATAGAAATGATGCTAGAGATTGCATGATAGAATTTTGCAAGACCAATGAATTATATATTGCAAATACCTTTTTTTTCAACAACATATATGATGATGATACACGTGGACTTCACCCAATGGAATATACAGGAATCAAATAGACTATATGTGTGGAAAGAGGTGATGGAGAAATTCAATACCATTAGTCAAAACAAGGCCAGGAGCTGACTGTGGAACAGATCAATTGCTCACTTGCAAGTTCTAGTTGAAGCTGAAGCAAATTAAAACAAGTCCACAAGAGCCAAAATATGACCTTGATTATATCTCACCTGAATTTAGAGATCATTTGAAGAACAGATTTGATGCACTGAATATCAATGACCGAAACCCAGACAAGTTGTAGGATGACATAAAGAACATCACACACGAAGAAAGCAAATGGTCATTAAAAAGACAGAAAGGAAGAAAGACCAAAATGGATGTCAAGAGAGACTCTGAAACTCACTCTTGAATGGAGGGTAGTTAAAGTGAAAAGAAGAAATGACAGATAAAAGAGCTGAATAGGAGATTCCAAAGGGTAGCTCAAAAAGATAAAGTTAAGTATTATAATGAAACATGCAAAGACCTGGAGACAGAAAACCCAAAGGGAAGAACACGCTCTGCATTTCTCAAGCTGAAAGAACTGAAGAAAAAATTCAAGCCTCAAGTTGCTACACTGAAGGATTCTATGGGCAAAATATTGAATGATGCAGGGAGCATCAGAAGAAGATGGAAAGAATACACAGTCACTGGACTAAAAAGAATTTATCAATGTTCCGCTATTTCAGGAGGTAGCACATGATCAAGAACCAACGGTACTGAAGGAAGAAGTTCAAGCTTCACTGAATTGGCAAAAAACAAGGCTCCAGGAATTCATGCAAATGGATGAGATGTTTCAGCAAATGAATGCAGCACTGGAGGCGTTTGCTCATCTATGCTAAGATACTTGGAAGACATCTATCTGGACAACTGATTGGAAGAGATCCATATTTGTGCCCATTCCAAAGAAAGGTGATACTACAGAATGTGGAAATTATCAAACAGTATCATTAATACCACATGCAAGTAAAATTTTGCTGAAGATAATTCAAAAATGGTTGCAGGAGTATATTGACAGGGAACCTCCAGAAATTCAAGCTGGATTTAGAAGAGGACATGGAACAAGGGCTATCACTGCTGATGTCAGATGGATCTTGACTGAAAGCAGAGAACACCAGAAAGACGTTTACTTGTGTTTTATCGACTATACAAAGGCATTTGACTGTGTGGCTCATAACAAATTATGGATAACACTGTGAAGAATGGGAATTCCAGATTGTGATCATGAGAAGGTAAGATGAAGTCTAGCCATTCCCGCTTCCAAAGAGCATTCCAGCTGTACTCCTTCCAGGGCAGATTTGTGCTCATGAGAACCTGTATAGAGACCAAGAGGCTATCATTCTTACAAAACAAGGGGATATCGCAAAGTTTAAAATCAGGAAATGTGTGCATTTGTATCCTTAGCTCTTTACTGCCCCTGGGTAGTCCAAACCCTGACTCCAGCCCACAAGGCCCTGGGTCCTGGCCCCTGCTGTTCTCTCTGCCCTCACTCCACTGCCTGCCCCCTGACTCTGCTCCAGCCTCAGGGGCCTCCTTTCATCCCTCCAGCACCCAAGCTCCTTCCTGCCTTGGGGACTTCACACCTGCTATTCTCACAGCTGAGAATGCCTCCTACTTCTTTTCATTCAATTCTCAGTTTAAACATCACCCCTTCACAGGAGCCTGTCAGTCATCCCAATAGCAGGCCAAACCCTGTCATTCATTGTTCTGACAGCCCAATCTTCTGTATTCCATTCATCATCTTTAGAACTCACTGCCCTATGGCTGCCTCCCTCACTGCTCTAGATATTCCAAGAAAGCAAAGGTCTTGCTAAAATTTGTTACCTGTATCCCTAAGGCCTAGCATGGCTTCTGGCATATAGCAAACACTCAATAAATATCTGGGTGAACTAATAAGTGGGTGAACCTCCTCTCTCTGAAGGCTCAGGCTACTCACCTGTACACTGGAAAGTCAGTTTATCAACTCCCCAGCAAGGCTGTGGGTGAAAGTCAAATGACAGCTACCCAGGCCCCTCCAGAAGGAAACAGGAAAGGGCCTAGGTCTAGACTCTCAGTGCTGAGTGGGGCTGGCGACAGACCTGTCTTGTGCAGTTCACGCAGGAAGCGCAGGAAAATGGGGCGGGCATACAGGGGCAGCTCCTTCTCCAGGACCTTTGCAAAGTGCTCCAGATCACAGCTGCCAATTGGCTTGGCCACAGCAGCCATTCCAGCTCGGCCCTCAGTTCCTGGCGGCAGTTAAGATGAACAGTAAGCAGCTGGCAGTGCCCCTGGTGGTGCCTCTCCACATGTGTTCCCCACTCCCCACGGCGCCACACACACCTGGCACCTCCACACCATACACTGCCACGTCAGCCATGTCCAGCAGGCGGCTGAGTGTGCCTTCTACCTCGGTGGTAGACACATTCTCCCCCTTCCAGCGGAACGTGTCCCCTGTGCGGTCTCGGAAGTACAGGTAGCCCAGCTCATCCATCACCAACACATCACCTAGGGAGGAGTCGTGTGATGCAGGGCTTGAGCCTGCCTCGCCTCTGGACACAGGAGCCTAAGCCAACCTGTCCTTACTGGATCTCAACGACCTGTTTTTCCATAAGGACTGCACTGGGGGAGACCTGGGAGGTGTTCTCTGAAGGCAGGGAAGGTTCCCTCATTCCTCCCTCCCCCAAGCAGGGGCTGCTAAGGGATAAAGGGGCTGAAGGCCTGGGGAAAGGGGCTCACCCACCAGTGAGGTAGGCCTGGTCCCCCTTCTTGAAGACATCATTGGCAATCTTCTTGTTGTTGGCACCCTGGTTGAGGTAGCCATCGAAGCGGCGCAGGGGGTCCTTCTGGATGATGCGGCCCACCAACTGGCCTGGCTCGCCTGGCGGCCGGGAAGGTGGAGTCACGTTTGGAAGATCTCAGGTGCCCTCTTCTACCTGTTCCATCACCCCCAATGCACCCTGTGTTCTGATCTGACCTCTGTTCCACTGCTTCCCATGGAAATGCCCCCATTTCTTCACTAGCCTAGGAGCCCTCTGAGGGCAAGGAGCATGCCTTGGCATGTCTGATACACAGTGACACTCAGTAATGTTTGTTCACTGAATGGATGGAAAGATAAGCAAGGAAACAAACATGTAGTCAACTCTTGTGTGGACAGCCTAACCAAAAGCCAGCATATATTAAGCCCGCCCGTGAGCCCGGCTCTGCATAACTAGCTTTAGGTTACATTCTTTGTCATGTTTCATCCTCAGGTCAACCTGATGAAGTGGGTGCTGCTACTGTCCCCCTTTGCAGATAAGGAAAATCAGGCACAGAGAGGCTGGATAATTTGCCAAAATTAGAGAGCTAAGTGTCTAGCCCAGCCAGGATCATTCTCGGTGACCCAGAGTTCTCTCAAGCTAACATACAAATAAATGAATGGACTGGTGGATGAATGGGACAGTGGATGAATGACTGGACAGATTAAAAAAATAAATGATCTATAGCACTAATAGAAGAGGCATCTGATGGTGACAACTGATGGCCACTGATGGGAGCAGGCCTCCCCAGCTACCTACATCTGTCCCACTTCCTTTCTAGGCCAAACCCTTCCCCTCTTGCTCCCAAGTCCAGCCCCAGGCTGACCTGGCTGGCAGGGAATGCAGATGCCATCAGGCCCCCGGATCAGCTCCATGGTGTCCTCATTGACACGTACCAGCCGGATGGGATACACAAAGGACAGGATGCGGCTGTTGAAGCCACAGGCCCCTACCTGTGAAAGCCAAGACTTGGGTGTGGGTTGAAGGTGGGTGCACCCATACTCCTGTGCTGGCACTCTGCCCTTGCCTCTGCCCACCCAGTGCCTTCCATGATGCATCCCCCTGGTGGCCCCGCCTGTGCCCTCACCCGGGCCACACCTGGCTGTCGAAGTTGCCCAGGCTGCAGTTGCACTCAGTGGCTCCGTAGAACTCAGCCACCTGGGGGATGTGGAAGCGGCTGGAAAAGTTGGTCCAGATGGACTGCCGGAGGCCGTTACCTATTGCCATGCGCACCTTGTGCTGGTTTTCCGCCTCCCGGGGTGGCTGGTTGAGGAGGTAGCGGCACAGCTCGCCGATGTACTGCACAATCTGGGGGTAGTCTTGGCGTGATGCCAGGCTCCTGAGGTTACCGTCACTTCACCACCTCCCAATCCCCAAACGCCTACCCCACCTAGACCTTCTCCCCCAGGGGCTAGCTTTCCCATTCTGGGCCTTAGTCTCCCCATCTGAACAAGGTGAGTGCTCTGAATGACTCCATGTGAATAAGGGGCCACCTCAGCTGCAAGATGGGCATCCCCAAGGGGGGTTAGTGGGAGAGTAACAAGGAGACAGGGGAGACCCCTTCCCTTCTCACTCACTGTACAGTTGTACTTGACACAATCGTCCCAGAATCGGGAGGCTGAAAACTTCTTCCGGATCACCACTGTCATGCCGTGGAGCAAGCATTGCCCTATTCCCACGATGTTTCCTGAAGACAGAGAGGTGGGCCCTAGAGTCAGGAAGGTGGGAGACTCTTCTTTCCAGAGCATCCCCTTCCCCTATCTTTCTTTTTTCTTTTTATTGTGATTTGGGTGAAAATTTACAGAGCAAACTCACTTTCCATACAGCAGTTCAAATGCACTTTGTCTCATGACATTGACCACAATTTACCACAATGCAACAGCTCCCCTCCCACTTCCTCCCGACAGTTACCTCTTTCCTGTGTCCATCCCTCCATGCACTCCTGCCCCTTGAGCTGTCTCCCTGTGCATAAACAGCCCTTCTTTCTCCCATGGTTGTTCTCTCCAAGGAGTGTATCTACCTCAGGTAAATGTTCACCTCATATGCCTGTCTTCTGTTTGGCTGGAAGCCACAGGTATGGGTTTAATTCCAGATCTGAAGGGCAGCTAGGGGTTGTAGTCTCAGTCTTAGGCTCTATCAGAACAGCAAACCTGCCCCCCCCTTTTTTTTCTCCAAATGATTTTGATTTTTGTTCCACATTGTTCTCCCTCTCTATCCAGGATCTCCTACATAGATCCCACCTCAAGTGGTTGACAGTGGTAGCTGGGCACCATCTAGTTCTTCTGGTCTCATAATCATATAGGCTGCAGATCATATGGTGTACCAGTTTCTAGGACTAATTGCTTCTGTGAATTTTTTGTTTTCTTCATTCTTCTTTGCTCTGGACGAGGAGAGACCCATCGTTGCATCTAGGTGGCAGCTTGCAAGCTTTTAAGACCCCAGTTGCTACTCGCCAAAGTAGGAGGTGGAACAATGTTTTGTGTAGTATGTTATGCCAATTGAGTCTCTCCCTATCTTATCCTGTCCCTCCTATACAAACTGATCACAGCTTTCCTCTGCTCAGATACCTTACATGGCTCCCCAGTGCCAATGAGATCAGATTGTCCCCCAGGGTCTCCAGGTGGCCCCAAGCTTCTGCTCCCATGCCTAAACATTGCCATTCAATCAAGAGGACTGATCTCACATCTGCCCGGCTTGGATGCACCTCCTCCAGGACACCCCAAGGCCCCCATGACCAGTCTCTTCTTTTGTGCTCAGCTCCTACTCCCTACCCTCCTCCACACTCACCGTGGCAAGTCTTGTATTAGAGTTAGGTAGGTTCCCATCATTCATCCTACACTAAACTCACAAATGATTGAGGAACTGTATTTGTTCAATTTCTATCTCCCTTCACCCCTCCAAGCCCCTGAGACAAGCAGCAGTGCTATCAGACCTGCCCAGGCTCCCTGCGAGACACTGCTACACATGCCATGAAGCTGCCATAGTTATGCTCATTTAATAGATGAGGAGATGAGATAGAATCAATGGCAAGATGGGGATTTTAACTCAGATAGGACTCTAAGCTCCCATGTCTCCACTACAACATGCTGATGGTAGGGAGTGGGGCCCCTGAGGATTTGAGGGGGGTGCTGAGGCTGAGGGCGCTAGGCAGGATTACCTGCTGAGTGGTAGAGGGGGAGACAGTCATAGACAATGTCATCCGGCCGCATGCGGAATCCGTAGTACACCAGCGCAGCCATGCGGTAATATCTGGGAAGGAAGAGAGTAGGAAGGCTCAGTGGGTGCCTGGAAAAGCAGGAGGAGAAGCTCACAGGCCTACCTACCCACCCTGGGCACCTGCCCCTTACCTGCTATGCACCACGATGGCAGCTTTGGGCAACCCAGTGGTGCCTGATGTGTAGATATAGAAGAGCTTATCTGACAGAAAAGAGAGACGTGGGCAGCTGTGAGGGGGGCAGCACAGCCTGACACAAGACTGGGCACACAGTCAGATGAACGCCTGCCTGTATGCATCCTTCAACATCTGCTCCCGTCACATCTCTTCCAGGAAGCCAACCCTGATGACCCCAGACACTACTCTCTGCTTTAACATCTGCATCTACCCACTCAGCAAGTGTTTTCTGGGCCCTCACCCTGCATCAGGGCCTGGGGAGACATCAGTGACTAAGATGTGCACAGTTCTGCTCTCAAGGAGGCCACAGCTTGGTGAACAGTTAGATAAGTATGTATGCAATTCCAACACTGAGCATAAAGTGCTGGGATGAAGGTGGGAAGCACAGGAACTGTTAAAAAACAGTGGAGGTACCCAACACAGTCTCAAGGAAGGGGAGGTAGCAACAGGGTGAGCTTCTGGAAAGAGGTGATGCCTATGCCAATCTTAGAGCATGGGTAGGCATCAGGTACAAGTGGGGTATTTCAGGAAAAGGAAGAGACTGACCATTTATTCATCCCACCCTTCTGCTCTGTACAAAACTATCACATTATAGTTTGTACTAGTGTGGTGGTTATGTTTTTGTGTCAACTTGGCTAGGCCTGGTTGAGTGGCTGGGCAGCTGGATGTAGTATTCCCCATGATGAGACTGGCAATCAGCTCCATGGTGGGATCTATCACAAGCAGCTGAGTAGCTGCTTTGGGTATGTCATCTGCTTCCCGTATATAAGAAACAGCTTTGGGAATGGTCTCTAGTTTATGGCACGCTTGGACCCTGAGTGTAGCCATGTCATTATTCAGCAGTCTGCCATGCTCTGCCGACCTTGGGACTTACAATGGACTTGAATTAATGGCCTGCTGTGTGGTTTTGTAACATCGGGACTGTGCCATTTTATTTGTCGATCTTGGGCTTGTTAGCCTCAGCAGCCAGTAGCTGCCTGAGTGAAGAGATGCCTCTAGCTTCAGTGGGCTGGGAACAAGAGGCAGAGCTGAAGCCCAACGTCGAGGAGCTTTCACACAGCCCCTAGAGCCTGGCACTGTGAACTTGGACTTAAAGCCTCCAAACTGCAAGAGAATAAACTCCTGTTTGTTAAGGCCATCCCATTTGTGGTATGTTCTTGTCAGAGCGGCACTAGGTAACCAAAACAACTAGTGTCCCCAAAAATTCATTCCCACCTGGAACCTGCAAAGGTGAATTTATTTGGAAATAGGTCTTTACAGATATAAATCAAATTAAGATGAAGTGACATTGTATTAGGGTGGGCCCCAACCCAATGACTGGTGTCCTTATCCACTGCCATAGAGTCAATTCTAACAGAACAGACTGTCCCATAGGGTTTCTAAGCTGTAATCTTTATGGAAGCAGATTGCTGCATCCTTCTCCCACAGAGCAGATGGTGGGTTTGAACTGACATTTTGGTCAGCAGCCGAGTACTTAACCATTGCATTACCAGGGCTCCTGGTGTCCTGATGAGAAGAAAGAAAGTTGGACAGAGACACACAAAGAGAGACCACAGGTGTATGAAGATGAAAGCTGAGATCAGAGTGATATGCCACAGCAGGGGAACACCAAGGATTGCCAGCAACCACTAGAAGAAGCTAGAAGCATGGAAGGATGTCCTCTAGAGCCTTCAGGGGAAACAGGGCCCTGCTAACATCTTGATTTCTTGACTTCTAGCCTTCAGAACCACCCGCATCTGTCAGTTTGTCATACTGTGGTGGCTTGTGTGTTGCGGTAATGCCAGAAGCTATGCCACTGATATTTCAAATACCAGCAAGATCACCCATGGTGGACAGGTTTCATCACAGCTTCTAGTCTAAGACAGACTGGAAAGAAGGACATGGCCAGGTCTGTTCCTGAAAAAAAACTGGCCACTGAAAACCTGATGAATAACAAGGGAACACTGTGGATACACCCCTCAGGTTGGGAGGTGCTCAAAATAAGACTGAGAAGAACTGCCTCCTCAAAGTAGAGTTGACCTTAAAGACATGGAAGGAGTAAAAGCCTTTGGGACCTTCATTTGCTGATGTGGTACAACTCAAAATGAAAAGACACGGCTGTAAACCTCCATTAATAATCATAATGTAGAAAACATGGAGTATGAACTAGGAAAACTGGAAGTTGCAAAAACTGAATTGGAATGCATAAAGATCAATATCCTAGGTATTAGTGAGCTGAAATGGACTGGTATTGGCCATTTGGAATCAGACAATCATATGGTCTACTGTGCCAGGAATAACAATTTAAAGCAGAATGGCATCACATTCATCATCAAAATGAACATTTCAAGATCTATCCTGAAGTACAATGTTGTCAATCATAGGATTATATGCACACTCATATAAGGAAGACCTATTGGACTATTATTCAAATTTATATGCCAACCACTAAGGACAAAGATGAAGAAATTGAAGATTTTCACCAGATTCTGCAGCCTAAAATTGACCAAACATGCAATCAAGATGTATTGATAATTGCTGGTGGTGATCAAAATGCAAAAGTTGGAAACAAAGAAGCAGCTCACTAGTTGGGAAAATACGGCCTATAAAAATGATGCCAGAGATTCCATGATAGAATTTTGCAAGACCAATGACTTATTCACTGCAAATACTTTTTTTTTTTTTTTTTAATTG